TCCTTCCTTCCTTCCTTCCTTCCTTCCTTCCTTCTTTCCTTCCTTCCTTCCTTCTTTCTTTCTTTCTCTCTCTCTCTCTCTCTCTCTCTCTCTCTCTCTCTTTCTTTCTTTCTTTCTTTTTTTGTGTAAGGTCCAGTAAGACCTTGTCCCTGCAACCCTCATGCAGCCTCTATCTGAGCACCTGACACACAGTGGATGACTCTGATGGGTCTCACATGGGAGGACAAGATGTGACACTCAGACAGTGGCCCCTTCCCTACCTTTGTGATGAGCATTGGGCTCATTTTCTCTTGCCTGTCTGGGATATCCCATGATTACTTTTTTTTTTTTTTTTTAATAAGTTGGAGTCTCACTCTGTCGCCCAGGCTGGAGTGCAGTGGTATGCTCACAGCCACCACAGCCTCAAGCTGCTGGGCTCAGATGATCCTTCTGCCTCAGCCTTCCCATCAGCTGGAACTACAGGCACACTCCACCATGCCCAGCTAATTTTTTGATTTATTGTAGAGACGAGGTCTCACCAAGTCTCCTAGGCTGCTCTTGTACCCCTTGACTCAGGTAATCCTCTTGCTTCGGTCTCCCAAAGTGCTGGAATTACAGGCTTGAGCCACTGCGCCCGGCCCTAGGATTACTTTTGTGAGCGTGAAAAGAAATTCCTGTTCTTTCTCAGAATTCAGAGAGAATGTTCTCAGCTTTCCCCTCTTCTCCCTGGGTCTCTGTCCGGCCCCCAGACCGTGTACTCCTGGAGTTGGTCGAAATGCTCCTCCCGGGCATTTCCCTGCCCCCATCTACCCAGGCAGAGAAGATGGGAAGGAGTGGGAAGCTGTTAAGTGGTCATTTCACTAATTATTACTTGTGTTTGGAAGACATTTAGTAGGCAAAGTGGTAGAAACCAGTGGTTGAATTTTTTTGTGTGTAGTCATCCCATATTTTACTTGAGTTTTTGGCCTGAGTCTATTATTGTGATTATTTGATATTTGATTCTTGTACAAAATGGTTATCTAAAACAGTTACACTAATGATGACATATTGAATTTTAAAAATTAATATATTTCCAAATATCTTTTCTTTTTTAATTGGAGTCTCATTCTGTTACCCAGGCTGGAGTGCAGTGGCATGCTCATGGCTACCACAGCCTTGACTTTCTGGGCTCAGGATATCCTTCCACCTCAACCTTACAAGTAACTGGGACCACAGGTGCACACCACCACACCTGGCTAATTTTTTTATTTACTGTAGAGATAAGGTCTTGCCAAGTTACCTGGGCTGATCTCAAATCCCTGGTCTCAGGCAATCCTCTTGCCTTGGCCCCTCAAAGTGCTGGGATTACAAGCATGAGCCACCACACCCAGCCAAAAGGGCTAAATATCTGATGTAATGAGTGAGAAGATTCTGCTATATAGCCAGCATGTTTTTGGTTAGTGTAGAGAGGGCTTGAAGTAATATGATGTTGTAGCTTTAAAAAAAATTACAAATTGTAACTATAGTTTGGGCTAAGAAAAACATTTTGCTTTTCTGTGTGTTCTAGTAAATGTGTGGATCCCAAAATATTGCCAGGTTGGTTTTTTTTTTTTTTTCCCTGTGTAAACCAACAGTCATGTTTACTGCTGTGGCCAGGTTAAGGTCCCTGTGGGTGGCATGTCTCTGTGGCTTGGCTGTGCCTGTCCCCCGCTCTGGTTATGACTTGGCTTGTCACATCCCTTTCACACAGAGCAAGTGGCAGAGATTATTACTGAGGTTCCCCCGGACGAGCCTGTGAACACGGCCCCAGATGAGCGGATCATGGAGCTGGTTCTGGGGAAGCTGGCCACCACCACCACTGACACCAGCTCTGTGCCAAAGTAAGTCCTGCCCTGGCCCTTGGGACCATCCTGGGACAGACAGCACCTGAGGCATCCAGTTCATCCTGTGGGGACGGTGCCTCCCAACAGGAAAGCCTGGTGAGGGGGAGGTAGAAGCCATCTGCTTGGGAAGCAGCTGGAATATTCTGGAGCTCAGGAGTTTAATAGTGCTTTCACTGTGAAACACATTAAAGAACATTTTAAAATTGTAAAACATAAAATTTGTCATTTTAACCATGTTCAAGTACACTATTCACTGGCATTATATACATTCACACTGCTGTGCAACCGTCGTCATCATCCATCTCCAGAGCCTCCTCATCTTCTAGAACGGAAACTCTGCATCCATTAGACTCTAGCTCCCATTCCCCCTTCCCAGCCCCAGCACCCACTGTTCTGTTTTCTGTCTCTATGAATTTGACTCCTCTGCCTAACATAAGTAGAGTCATACACTATCTGTTCCTTTATGACTGACTTATTTCCCTCACATATTGTTCTCAAGATTCATCCCTATAGCAGTCTGTGTCAGAATCTCCTTTCCTTTTAAGGCTGAATAAGATTCCATTGCAGGCATGGACCACATTTGATATCTCTATCCACCCACCATGAACACTTGGGTTGCTTCCACCTTTTGACTCTCTGTTGTGAATAATGCTGCTGTGATAAACAGTTTTGTATTTGAATTTCAGTAAATTTTTTTTAATGTTTTGAGTCGGAGTCTCACTCTGTCACTCAGGCTGGAGTGCAGTGGCACAATCATGGCTCACTGCAGCCTCTACCTCCTGGGCTCAGGCAATCCTTCCACTCAGCCTCTTGAGTACCTGGGATTTCAGGCATGCACCACCACAGCAGGCTGATTTTTAAAATTTTTTTGGAGAAATGATGTCTCACTGTGTTGACCAGGCTGGTCTTGAACTCCTGGGCTCAAGCAGTCCTCCTGCCTTGGCCTCCCCAAGTGCTAGGATTGCAGGCAGGAGTCACTGCACTGGACTCCCCCTATCTTTTGCCAATTTATTTCTCTTGGGCAGGTTTACACATCATCAGAATAACACCATCACCCTCAAGAGGAGCTTAATCCTCTCGAGCAGACACGGCATCCGGCGGAAGCTCATCAAACAACTGGGGGAGCACAAGCGGGTCTACCAGTGCAGCATCTGCAGCAAGGTCTTCCAGAACAGCAGCAACCTGAGCCGACATGTGCGCTCACACGGTGAGACTGGGCAGAAACACACGCAAGTGGGGACAGAGGCAGGAAGGCAGCTGGGCCTCCCCTCCCTGGGGTTCTCAGAGAACGTGACCATGGCAGCAGGTAGCCATCTTTCCAGCTGCCATCTACATAGCAGGAGCGAGAGAGCTCTGTGAGTGGTTCAGAGGCGGGTTCACATTTTTAGTAAATGCTTAAAGTAGTGAGCTTTCTGTGGGTTTCTCTGCAGGTGACAAGCTGTTTAAATGTGAGGAGTGTGCCAAGTTGTTCAGCCGCAAGGAGAGCCTGAAGCAACATGTTTCCTACAAACATAGCAGGAATGAGGTGGGGGTTCTCGTTCTAATTGTGTGGATGAAACAGACAATTGACTGAATAATCATGTTATGGAGGGAAGAAAGAGTCACAGGAGAGAGGAGAGCTGGGTAAGGGCTGGGGGTGTTCCAGGCATCCCCTGGTCAGATGCCACAGGCCCAGCAGGAGGAGTCGGGAGAAAGAGGCAGTTGGTGTTATGAGCAGCCTGCCTGAGTGTGGGACTCCCTTTCTGGGCCATTGGATGGCAAGCATGAATGTCCTTTGTATCCCTAAGTAGAGTAGGAGGTTAGTGGAGGAAAGTGTTGTACAGGCACACTCGTGCAGTTGCTTGAGCAGCACATTGAGGGGGCTCACCTCTGTTCAGGGGGTATCTCACCGATGGCATGACCCTCCCACCAGGTCGATGGCGAGTACAGATTCCGCTGTGGCACTTGTGAGAAGACCTTCCGCATCGAGAGTGCACTGGAGTTTCACAATTGCAGGACAGGTGAGGGGCTGCTGCTCTTGTTCCCTCCCTGTGCAGTCCCATGTGACCTCCCTGACACCTGGGTGAGACTGCGGAGCTTTCGGTGCAAGTCAAGAGGTCTTAATGAGTAGACAACTTCACTTTTAATATTTCCACTGTTCATTTTGCAGTTGTTACTTGTTTCTTTCTTTTTCCCTTTTTTAAAAAAATTTATTTAAGAGATGAGGTTGTGTCTTTTTTTTTGGAGACTAGGTTGCTATGTTGCCCAGGCCAGTCTCAAACTCCTGGGCTCAAGCAATCCTCTTGCTTCGGCTTATTCTAAAGACACTCAGATGGACGTTTTCCACATCAAAGTGCTGTATTTTTTCCTGTGTCAGCTAGAATTGTACATGTCCCATATCTGTGGGCATTATAAAGCAGGGGGGTTCATTCTGGTCAAGAATGGAGAGCGGCAGCATCTGAGTCATTCTAGGACCATGGGAGAACTAGATGGGGGCCAGAGTAGTGACTGGAGAGGGAGAGGATTGTTTTTGGCGATCTCCCTCACTGAGCTCTCTCTCGTTCTGTCCTGCCAGCGTCTGGGCAGGGTGTTGCCACCTCACACATGAGTTTTGTTCTGAGCCTGTTCATGTGCACCAGTCACCAAGTGAAATGAGAGCTCCCTTTCCTGAGTGAGGCTGGAGCCGGTTGTTCCTGGGGCCAACCTGTGGTGGAGATGAGGCATCTCAGGCCCATCTCTTGGGCCGAGTTTGCTGCTGCCAAGTCGGGAAACTACAGAAATATATGCATACAAGCCTGGCATGGTGGCTCACACCTGTAATCCCAGCACTCTGGGAGGCAAAGGCGAGAGGATTGCCTGAGCCCAACCTGGGCAATTTGGCAAGACCTCATCGCTACAATACATTTTTAAAAAAATTAGCTGGCATTGTGGTGCACGCCTGCAGTTCCAACTTCTTGAAAGGCTGAGGCAGAAGGATCGCCTGAACCCAGGTGGTTGAGGCTGCAGTAGCCTTGTTTGTGCCACTGCACTCCAGCATGGGCAACAGAGTGAGACTCTGACTCAAAAAAATAAAGAAATAAATAAAACAGAAATATATACACGCAGCAGGAGGCCACAGCTGGGTGGGGAGCCTCCCATCCCGCCCAGCTACATTCTTTGTGTGACCTGAGGACACCCCATGCCCTATGGTGGTGATATGTACCCTCTTGGGGGAGCTGCAGCTCCTGGTCCTCCCCCCCACCCTCCGCTGCTCCCCTGCCTCAGTTCCCAGTGTGGTTGACTCCGTGAGGCCCAAGCAGAGGGAAGTCACTGTTGCCTCTGTATCCTTCCTCTCTCCAGGACTCATAGCGAGCCTAGGGGGTGGGGGTGGGGGTGGCGGTGCCCGGCGGCAGTCGGCTAGAGGCCTGCCAGGTTAGTCTCGACATTGCCTCGTTTTTGTGCATCCACCCTTTGCCTGTCACTCGCATCTCTGCATTAGTTCTTGTTGAGGGCCTGCCTACTCCGTGTGTCTCAAGAAGCATTAACCAGCAAAGGGCCCCTAGGCCCAGGGCTGTTTCATATGGACTGTGAGAGTCCTTGCTTTCCCAGTGTCTGCCGGGGCCCTTTGTGTCCTTGGTTGATTCTACTCTGAGCTCTTCTAATTGGAGCCAGGGCTCAGTCCTTCCATCTTCAGTGCCTTCCTCCCTGTGGAGGGCTGTTCCCGGGGCAGGCAAGAGTAATGATCTCCCTGCTCAGAAGGACCCATGTCCATGGCTTGAAGCAGCCTCTGGAAGCTTCCAGATAAATTTCCAGTGTGCTGCACCACCTGTATTCTAAGCCGACCCATTCCAAGAAATTTGGGGCACAGCCACCGAGCCACTTCCATGTGACATGGTGTCAGCCAGACAGACAAACATGAGTGCTATTTCTTAGCCTCCCTTGGGTCTCCACAGTCTGTGAGAGTGCAGTGGGTGAGGGCATCGGGTTCTCGGAGCTACGCCAGCATCCAGGGTGCTTGGTGAGGCAGATTCAAGGCTGAAGGAGAGAAGTTGTCTCCTGTGATTTTTGACTGTTTATCTGGACACAATGAAACAGAAAGTCATAGAAGCAACCAGCGAGCAGCAGCTGCCACATGTCCACTAGGAGGTCTGTGGAGCCAGACACTGACTTCTGTTCATTACCTAGAACCAGCAGTGCAGCAGGGAACTAAGACACTCTAGTTCCAAAGGTTATTAGTCTTAGGTGAAAAGAAAGGATAATTTGCATAATTATTGTTTGCATGCTGCTATATGTTTTTATTGTATCGAAGTTAAGAGAATGTGTATCAGGCCAGGTGCAGTGGCTCACACCTATAATTCCAGTATTTTGGGAGGCCGAGGTAAGAGAATTGGCTGAGCTTGTGGGTTCGAGACCAGCCTGGGCAACTTGGCGAGACCTCATCTCTACAATAAATCAAAAAATTAGCCGGGCATGGTGGCGTGTGCCTATAGTTCCAGCTACCTGGAAGGCTGAGATGGAAGGATCACCTGAGCCCAGTGGGTTGAGTCTGCGGTAGCTGGGAGCGTACCACTGCCCTCCAACCTGGGTGACAGAGTAAAACTCCCACTCAAAAAAAAAAAAAAGATTGCATATCTTCCTTAGACCATTCAACCAAGAATGTGTACAGTGCAAAGGGAAGCTGTAAGAGTTGTGGTGTGGTGGGTACTCTCAGACCCCCTCCCTGGGCCGTCGCTGTGCTTGTCCCGTGGTGTGAAGAGGTGCTGACATAACTCAGCTGAGTGTTACATTAGCACAGTGCCATAGATGTTTATTCCCAGTTGCTCATTTATGAAAACATAAGCACAGGCCTCCAAGGAGCAAGACTGGGAGAAGGGCTTTTGTGACTTCATGCCATCTGGGTTCCTGAGCTAGAGGTGTGTGAATGGCTGGAGCAGAGAAGTCACCTTTGGGGGATGGAGTCATCCTGACAGCTCTACTTGTCACCAGGCAGAGGCTGCCCCCCCCGCCCCCCCAGATGGAGAGAATGGTTTGAAGTGGGTTCCCTTTCCATGGCCAGGAGGAGCTTGTGAGGGAGGAAATGGAGGCCTAAGGGCAGCCCCAGGGCTAGCGGAGCTACCAGCCAGGAGGGAGGCTCACCTGTGTTGTTTAGCAGGCTGGGGTTGGGAGTGGCATTTTCAGACTTGATGGAACATCATTGGAAAGGTGTGACCTTCAACAAAGCCCTTATCTCTAGTGATTTCATTCCTAGAAATTCATGCTAAAGAAATTTAGCAGAAGAAAGAAAAGCTGCATTACTAAAGATTGTGTCAATAAATTATTTCCCGTAACAAAAATAATGAAGTGAGTGGTGATAAATGAGTTGAATGGAATATTACATAGCCATTAAAATAACTGTGGAAGTGTCCAGCATCCTAAGCATGCCCGCTGTAGACAAGGACAAGAAGGACTCTGGCAATGGGTCTTGTGGAGGAGGTAAGAGCTGCCCAGGTCCTGAGCTAGAAGGAAACTGTGAAGGGTGTAGAGTGTGTGAACAATGCTTCACTTTATAGGAGGAGGCCAGCAGTGTGTCAGGGCAGTAGGCAGGCTGGCATTCTTCCCAGTGCCCTCCTCAGACCAAGACTCTGTTGAGGTCACGCTGCGAGTGGGGTAGGGAGGAGCAGGCCTGGGTGTCAGGACTTCACTAGGGGCCACTTCCGCTCTGCTCAACCTCCAGCCCTTCCTGCCCCTGGAGAGGCCACCTCCCCTTGTCCTGCCATAGTCAGAACTTTGGGAGGGTGTGGTCCCCTCCCTGTCCTGGGTGTGGTGCCCAGTGAGGCAGAGGATTCCCCACTACCATCTCCTGTCTTGCTCTCTGGGCTCTGGGAGTGGCCAGGTGGCTGTGAGATGACCCTGCCTTGTGTCTTGGTTTCCCAGGTGGGAAGAGATTAAGATGTCTTACTGATTTCAGGTAGGGGTTGTCTGATTCCCTTGCTCTCCACCTGGGCTACACATTGGTGTCCTGTGAAGGAAGTTAAAGGCACTCTGAGGCTTGAGGCCCACCCCAGAGACTGGCCAGGGTGGTGGGCGGGAAGGGTTTTGCCCACAGGGCACAATAGCAACATCTAGAGACATTTGGTTGTCACAGCTGGCTCAGGAGAGGGATGCTTCTGGCATCTAGTGAGAAGAGATCAGGGAGATTGCTCAACATTCCCTTGTGCACAGGGCAGCCCTCCTCAAAGAATTATCCAGCCCAAGATGTCAGCAGCACTGAGGCCAGGGAAGCCTGGCCAGTGTGGTCCTTAGACTCTGGTGGCTCCATCGTACAGCAAAAAGGGAGTAGCAGTGGCCAGATTTGTTGCAGAAATAGCAGCTTCTGATAGGCCTCAGGGATTTATGTTGGAGACAGTCTGTTCTGGTGACCCTGCTCTGGAGAGGGGAGGTGACACCTGTCACATGGTTATTGTGATTACCTACATCAGTGATACAGGGTGGAGAGAGCAGCTGTCGAGAAGGTGAGGCCTCCAATGGATAAGGGAGCAGGGCTGAGGGTGACTGAGGGCTGTAGGTAGGGGGCAAAGATGGCATGGGGTGGAGCTGTCGGAGTCCTGGCTGGATCAGGAGTTGCAGTGTGACTGGCTGACTTCAAGGAGGGGCTGGAGGTGAGACCTGGGATGGATGCAGGTGTTTCTGGAAGCTTCATAGGGTATGTGGTGTGTGTATTTGTGTATGTGTGTTTAGTATGAGTGTGTGTGTTGAGTATGTGGTGTGTGTATTTGTATGGTACATGTGTTGAGTTTGTGTGTATTTGTATGGTATATATGTTGAACATATGCAGTGTGTATTTGTATGGTGTGTGTTGAGTGTATATGTATTCATGTATGTATGTTTAGCATGAGTGTGTATGTTGAGTGTTTGGTGTATATATGGTGTGTGTGTATTTGGTGTATTGTTGAGTTTGTATATTTGTATGGTATGTTTGTTGAATGTGTGTGTCTTTGTGTATGTGTGTTTGGCATGAGTATGTATGCTGTGTGTTTGTATGGTGTATGTGTTGAGTGTATTTGTATGGTATATATGGTATTTATGTAGAATGTGTATTGAGTGTGTATTTGTATGGTGAGTGTGTGGTGTGTATTTGTATGGTGTGTGTGTGTTGTGTGTGTGATGTATATTTGAGTGTTGTGTGTGTGTGTCTACTAAAGGGAGACTTAGGAACAAGATGGCTTTGTTGAAAGGTAGGAAGAATGTGGGCACTTCGGTGGGGCAGGAGCCTGTGGAAGGCAGACGAGGGGGAAAGGGTAGGTGGTGGAGCCTGAAGGGGCTTCAGGGCCAGCTGCAGTCAAGCTGACTGGAGAGTGAGGGACCAAGGGCAGCTGTGGCTTAAGGAGTGGGGCATTAAGAACTGCCCCCAAGCGTGGTGGGAGGGTGTGGGCCAGTGTTGCTGGAGGGGAATGCAACTCTGCACTTCAAGCACTTGGGGTCTCTTCCCTGTGTCATGTGATTCTGGGGCAGATGGCACATGATACGCTGGTGCATTTTTCTTCCTGGCCTTGTCTCCATGAGCCTGTCACCAGTGCTTTCTTGCCTGCTCAGGCCATGCACTCGCGCCTGCGTCAAATGTTCTTTTTTTTTTTTGAGTCGGAGTCTCACTCTGTCACCCAGACTGGAGTGCAGTGGCTGCTCCCGGCCACCGCAGCCTCGACCTGCTGGGCTCCGGCGATCCTTCCGCCTCAGCCTTCCAAGTAGCTGGAATTACAGGCATGCACTAACACGTCCGGCTGATTTTTTGATTTATTGTAGAGATGAGGTCTCGCTGCCCAGGCGGGTCTCAAACCCGCGGGCTCAGGCAATCCACTCACTTTAGCCTCCCAAAGGCGCGGGATTACAGGCTGAGCCACCAAGCCCGGCAGTCAAATGTTCTTGACCTCAAAGTTGTTGTGTGTTTGTTTGCTCTCTGGACAGATGACAAGACGTTCCAATGTGAGATGTGTTTCAGATTCTTCTCCACCAACAGCAACCTCTCCAAGCACAAGAAGAAGCATGGCGACAAGAAGTTTGCCTGCGAGGTGTGCAACAAGATGTTCTACCGCAAGGATGTCATGCTGGACCACCAGCGGCGGCACCTGGAAGGTGAGCATGCCTGCCGTGGGGTGTACGCCATGGGGGTGGGGGGCGGCTCCTGTGGGGTGAGGGGAAGCATGTTGGCACGGCCTTTCTGGAAGCTCTGGGACCTGGCAACACCCACCATCCAGTGGGGTCACCCTCCTTGAGGAACCTGACTTGGGGTCCCCAAAACACAAGTGTCATTTGTGCTTTGTGTACATGGAAATAGCTGGAAACATCCCGAATGTTCCATCAGGAGAAAGAGTTAAGAAAAACAGACCATTCGTAAGGTTGACTGTTATGCAGTCATTAAAAATGTGCATTCACATACCAGATACTGTGGAAAATGCTTTTGATCTGACAGAAAGTAGTAAAACCCAGTAGGGAGCAACTAAGAACAGTAGCCCTTTGGCGGCCCTGCCCTTCGTGGATGGTACTCACTGACCCACACACCTCTGTATAAAGATTTGGAAAAAGTAATTTTCCAGAGAATTACAAATACACATATGCTTGCTGTACAGAAACGTGAGCTAACAGAATCCTGGATAAAGTTTGGCGACAAGAAGTTTGTCCACACAAACAGGCACATACACACATTGTGTCTCTTCACAAAAAACAAGGCTGGAATTGCTAGTCCGTGTTATTTTTTCTACTTTCCCTTTTGACCTGACTCTTCTTCCTGTTGATTCACAAAGACCCACAACTTTTTCTTTGTGGTTCCTCACGTGGCATACTCGGGGCCTCTCCAATCAAACCTGTCTCCACTTAGTGAATGGGTAGCCTTGGGCAAATGTTGTGCCTCAGTTTCCTCCTCTGGACAGTGGAGACAATAATCATATCCACTCCCCAAGGGTTTGGGTGGTGGTTGAAGCATACCCTACTCACAAAATTCCCATGTAGTGCCCAGCACATGGCAAGTGCCCATGGATGCCAGCTACTGTCATGCTGTTTCCTGCAACGTGGTATGGCAGGGCTGCATTTTACAGCTTACCCATCACTCAGGTCATCTTCTGGGGAAGAAGCTCATGTTGTGGTGATTATTTAATATTGGCTCTTTATCTAAGCCCTGCCCCAGATTCCCTGTGTCTGTTCTGCCCTCATGCCACCAGGAGCCTTTGGAGAATGACCCATTTGCCTGACGGCCAGCTTATTGTGGCACTATAAGTCCAGCCCTGCATTTACAACCAGTGAGGCAGGAATGTACCCAGATTGGTCAGCAGTATAGTAAGATACTGACAAGTGCATTTTTCTCTTTTGTTCAAAAGTTCAAAAAGCCTGTTTTAATCCCAGTTTTGCCTTAAAACCCTGAAGATGTTATTGTCAGCCAACTTTTTTGATACTGATTTGACTGATTTAATTTGCAAAAGATCACTATTAGTATCTTTTTTAATTAAAAATGCTGTCTGCTTAATAGTCATCTGAAAACATCCTAACTTGGCCCTGAGCCTTGAGATGCAGTCAAAATGCCTTCTGCAGTAGAAAATTCCCTTCTATTCCAAATGCTTCAGATGCAGGAACTGTCACCAGATTCCATGTGCACTGGCAGTCTCCCTCCTTCCCTGGGTGCCCATGTAGGAGCCACAGTTAGTTGCTGATGCCCAAATGGTATGCAAGTGACATCCTTTACACAGTCACTGCCCTGTCACTCCTGTGGGCAGCCCTGTCCTCCCATCAGATGAAAAGGACACTGGATGAATTACAATCTGATGGCTCTTCCTGTGTTCTGTGTGGATTCACTCTCTTGCTGGTGGGACTGGGAATTTCAGGAGTGCGGCGGGTGAAGAGAGAGGACTTGGAGACTGGCGGGGAGAACCTGGTTCGCTACAAGAAGGAACCTTCTGGATGCCCAGTGTGTGGCAAGGTAACGCTTGCTCTCAGTATTGAAAACTGAGATAGAAAGCACTCTATTTTCTTGAGTTAAAACTCAGAGCTGTACTTAGATTATGGGGGAACATGTTTAGGGTGCAAGGGGTGTCCTGGTTGTCTCACACTGAAGTATCCACACATTTTGCACATTTTCTATCAGTCGGTCTCTTTGGCACTTAAGATGAGTTTCTAGTAAATGAACTGTGAAGGGAGGATTTTTTTCCTTGATGGCCTTTTCCCCTTTTGCTGTGATTTTCCATCTAAGCTGCTCTAAGGCTCATACTCTCCTGTATAGTGTCTTTGAGACATCGTCCTTGTGGTTAGGATTGGAGCACAGCACACCAAGGCAGTGGGAAGACCCGGTTGCTTTTCTTTTTTTTATTTTTTGAGTTGAAGTCTCACTCTGCCACCCAGGTTGGAGTGCATTGGCATAATCACGGCTCACTGCAGCTTTTACCTTTGGGGCTCATGATCCTTCTGCCTCAGCCTCCGAGTGTGTGCCACCACATCCAGCTAATGTTTTGATTTTTTTGTAGAGATGACGTCTTACTATGTTGCCCAGGCTGATCATGAATTCCTGACCTGAAGCCATCCTTCTGCCTTGGCCTCTCAAAGTGTTGGGATTATAGACATGAGTCATTGTACCTGGCCCCAGTGACTTCACTTTGACTGTTGGCACTGCTCCTCCCCATTGGTGGCCAAGTAGCATTTTCTAAGTTAGAGCAAGACAGACCCCATGGTCACAGGAGCTCTTGGCACGTTTAGTGGAGCCCAGCCCTCCCTGAGTGATGTTATTTGTGGAAACATGTCCATCCCAGGGCCCCCAAGGTGCAGGTGTCTTGGCATCCGTCTCGGGATTCAGACACCCAATTGCTTAGCAGCGATGCTAGATCCTAAGCATCCAGAAGATACACTGCCCATTCCAGGAGACCTCAGGGCCCATATCTGTGGTACTCAGATCCAGTACTGGGTTGCTGTCAAAGCCATGTCAGATAGCCATGTCAAGATGCTCCTTTTCTTTGGAAATGAGCACCTCAGTTTTGACCAGTACTGTTGTTGCTTGTTTATTAGATTCAACTCTCATACTTGGGTGTCTGTAAAATGTCAACTGTCCGCAGAGGACTAGAACTCATGTCCCTTGTGGTATCCAGAGCATGTGCTGTAGGGTAAAGGTCTGAGAGAAGCCCCATGTAGGCCCTGAGCCTGGCAGCTCTGGGCATTATTCAGGCAGGCTCGAAGTCACCAAGGGGAGGGTACTCTGCCAAGTCTGTCACAGCCACATGCCGTCCACAGGAGCTGCCTGACACTGGCACCCTGAAGTCACAGCCCACACCTAGGCGCCTCAGCAACTGGGAGCGCAGGCCTCATGCAGACAGCCAGCTGTGACCATCAGCATTGCCAGAACTTTTGACTTTCTCAAGAGAAATTGGAAATCTGTGTTATGTGAAATTTCCTAATTTCTTTCAAACCACAGAGCAAGCCAAAGCAAACAGGTCAGCAGGGTAGTGTGGCTGTGGGCCACATTGGGTCTGTGACCTCGGGCTAGAGCCAGAGGCTAGTGAGGTGGGGTGGGCAGGTGGGTAGAACAGAGCATATACAGGACTGTGGCAGGTGATGGCTGTGTCCTTTGCGCAGTGTCCCTGGTCTTTGTGCCCACTGGCCTCTGGTCCTTGGGAACTGCTGGCCCCACAATTCTTCTTTGCTGAACTCTGCGCCTGACCTCCAGACCTTGGCCTTGGTGAGTATTCAATAAACACTTCCATGTAGTGTTTATTGAATACTCACCAAGGTCAAGGCTGCTGGAGGAGTAGCCAGCATGTTTTGGTTACTGAGTTCTTCACTGTTTGCACCCATGTCTCAGCTGAGTCTGCCCTGAAAAGACAGAGGAGGTAGTTGAGCCTGTGGACTCCGCCCCTTCCCACCTGATGTATCACCTCCCTCCTAGCACCCTGGGATGTGGCACAGCGCTGTTGGCCCCTGAATCACCTGCTCATCTTGGAGAGAGACATCCCAAGGAAATGTTAGCCTCCCGTCCCCCGTGAATCCCTAGTTCCCTTTCATTCATCTCTTGCATTCTCCTCTTGAGACTGTGGACGTCAGCAAGCTCTAGGAGCTGTGCATCCTGGGTTACTAGGCCACGGCAGCACCTATCTGGATGAAGGCTCAGAGCTCTCCGGGGAGCTGGAGGTCCTGGGACCCGGGTGGTGGTCTCAGCTGCTTGCCTTTTTCACTGCTCTATGCTGGTGGGTGCAGTGGCCACACCTGTCATGTGGATCCCAGTATTTCCAACCCCACCCCAGTGCAGGGCACCAAGGTGACTCCTGTGGATAGGTGTGGGATGAATGGATGAGTCTCCACATCCATCACACCAGGCTGGAAATACCGAAAAATCAGAAACATTGTTGTGAGTGCCCATGATGCGTAGTGTTGAGAACGTCACTTTCTCTGATACCTACTTTTGGAAAATTGCAGGCATCTCTGTGATTTATAGGCTCCTTGGTAGGCTCTGTCCCAATGAAATATTTAAGTGAGCTAAAACCACTGAGCTGAGCCATGGTTTATAGTGGACAGTCTGCCATCTATTGCAGACTAGAGACCTGCTAGCTCTGAGTTCTGCCTTGGCCCCTCTCCAAACGATTCCACAAGTCATCCTCTCCCATCTTTGCTCAGTAGTTGCACTTGTCACACATGGAGGGGTTGTCAGAATGTCAAATCCAGAGTTGTGTGCCCAGGGTGGTTTACCCAGCGGAGCCAATGACAACCTCCTGAGATGCCTCAGACCCTTACCCAGTGCCTCCCTGCCCACAGGTGTTCTCCTGCAGGAGCAACATGAACAAACACCTGCTCACGCATGGTGATAAGAAGTACACCTGTGAGATCTGCGGGCGCAAGTTCTTCCGTGTGGACGTGCTCAGGGACCACATCCACGTCCACTTCAAGGTGTCCATCTTGTACCATTCCATTCGCAGGCACAGGGGTGTGGATGGCAGGGTTGTCATCTTAGACAGCTAAGGCTTCTGTAGGCTTCTGTAGCAGGACACTGTGGACTGGGTGGCTTATCAACAGATGCTTGTTGCTCTGTAGGCTGGAAGTCCAAGGTCAGGGCACCAGTAGCTTCCGTGTCTGATGAGGGCCTGTGTCCTAGACTGCACCTTCTCACTGTGTCCTCATGCAGGTGAAGGGGAGCTCTTTCTGGGGTTTCTTTTATAAGGCACTGATCCCATTCTCCAGACTCCACCTTCGTGATCTTATCACTTCCAGAGGCCCTGCCTCCTAATGCCATTACCTGGGATGAGGATTCAACATAAAAATGTTGAGAAGATACAAATATTGAGACCCTAGCAGCATCCTAAAATAGTTGACAACTTGGCCACATTTTATCTCTTCAAAGTGAGTGTTTTGCTGTTGTTGTTGTTGTTGTTTTTGAGTAGGAGTCTCACTCTGTCACCCAGGCTGGAGTGCAGTGATATGCTCATGGCTATCACAGCCTCAACCTGCTGTGCTCAGGCAATCCTTTTGCCTCAGCCCTCCAAGTAGCTGGAACCACAGGCGTGTGCCATCACCCCCGGCTAATTATTTTATTTTTTTGTAGAGATGAGGTCTCCCCAAGTTGCCTAGGCTGATCTCGAACTCCTAGGCTCAGGCAATCTTCTTGCCTTGGCCTCCCAAAGTCCTGGGATTGCAGGCATGAGCCACCCAGCCCAGCTCAAAGCGAGTCCTGTGCCTACATTTGCTTCATCTTACGTTGCTTAGCCACAAGACTGGAAGTAAAATTCCTCCATCATAGGGACTTCCCTAGGGGGAAGACTAGAATCAGGACGGGGTGTTCGTTCCCTCCCTGCCTGTGAGGAAAGCAAGGAGTGGGAGCTTGAGGGAGCAGGGAGGACTTGGGGTGGGATTCAGGACAGGAGGAGTACTGACCCAGGAGAAAAGGAGGAAATACAGGTGGTGCAGAAGGACCAAAAGAGTGAAGAGCCCCAGCCTGAGAGGCATCTGTGGCCAGCTCGGGTGACTCCCCATGTGGTGCCCAGCCCGGGGTGGGATCTGCTTGGCAGGCATGAGAGGAAGACAGAGCAGGTGTTGAGAGTCGGTGGTACTTGGGCCCAGGATCCAAGCCAGATGGGCAAGCCCTGCCTGTTGCTCGAGAGCCACAGGTGTAGCTCTCTAGGACTTCTAGCATTAGAGAGGCGTTTCTTCTTTATTTGGGCAGATAGTTAACCATCCCTGTGGTATACATAACCCATGAGCGCTTCTGCTGTGCTGGCGGAAGGCAGACAGTGACTGTTTTCCAGGACATTGCGCTGATGGATGACCACCAGAGGGAAGAGTTTATTGGCAAGATTGGGATCTCCTCAGAAGAAAACGATGATAATTCCGATGAGAGCGCAGACTCAGAGCCTCACAAGTACAGCTGCAAGAGGTGCCAGGTAGAGTGGTCCTCCTTCCCTTACATGCCTGGGGCAGTTGGTAATTGCAGGGCTGTGAGGACCCAAGCAGTGCCTTTGGGCAAATAGAAAGAGGTCCTTCCCTCTGCAGAGGCTCGGGCCTGGTGAGCCAAGGGCATGCAGGGCACCTGCTCCCCTCCCATGACTGGGAAGGCTATCCTGTGTCACCTCGGTGCTAAGAGATGTCAGTGTGGGTCTCACGGGCCCCCTCTGACAACCCACCTTGTAACCTTCTATGTGTCCACATGTGCAGTGTACTGGCCAAGGCGGGGTCAGGCTCCTGAAAGGCTGACTGTGCTGACCACAGGCTGGGGTTCCTCTCCCCTCAGACCTGAAGCCCTCCACCAGGCCTCCCCTGCCCACAGAAGGGGCTTGCTGGAAGGGAGGATGCTTTCTTGTCAGCTTGCCACCCCATCAGCTGCCTCGCACGGGGCTTTACCACTCAAGAAAAGCCACCGTTACCCATCAGGCCCATGGGATCCCCTTCCTCTCTGGGGTCACAGGCTCTCAGGGCATCTGGGGCCCTTGGTGTGTGAGTAATTCAGGAGCCTGGGACTGCGTATGGGCATCAGCGAGTTCTCACTCGTCTCGCCGCAGCTCACCTTCGGCCGGGGGAAGGAGTACCTGAAGCATATCATGGAGGTGCACAAGGAGAAAGGCTATGGCTGCAGCATCTGCCACCGGCGCTTCGCTCTAAAGGCCACCTACCATGCCCACATGGTCATCCACCGCGAGAACCTGCCGGACCCCAACGTGCAGAAGTCAGCCTCCCTGGGCTGCGGGCTCCAGGGTCATGGGGGGAAGGGAGGGGATGTGTTCCCTTGCAGAAACAGACTCCCACGAGCCATCCACAGCCCCAAGCAAGCTGTGTCCCCTGGGCCCAGCTTGGAGGCATGAATGCTCTTTGTCCTGTGCTTCTTCACAGCTGTCACTCCCTCCTCTCACCCCTTGTGCCCAACTCCAGCACGAGAAGCCTGTGTTATAGAAGCTAGCGGGTTCCTGGCCTGCCCACAGAAATGCTTCCCCACTGCAATTAGGTTCCACTAATGCCAGGCACATCTGGCGTGCAGCCCAAGCCAAGGCTGTGATGAGCAGACAAGTGAATGGTTTTGTCTAGAGGCTCTAAAAGGTACCACAAGCAGGTAGCTGAAACAGCAGGGATTTACCTTTTCACAGTCTGGAGGCTGAAGGCTGCTACAGCAGAGATCCACCAGCTGACTCCTCCTGGGCCTCATAGGGCCATCCCTCCGTGTGTCTGTGCCCAACCTCCTCCTCCTCCTCCTCCTTTTATTTTTCTGAGTCGAGGTCTCACTCAGTCATCCAGGGTGGAGTGTAGTGACACAATCACAGCTACTGTAGTCTTGATCTGGGCTCAGGCAATCCTTCTGTCTCAGACCCCCAAGCAGCTGGGAGTACAGGCACACACCACCATGCCTGGCTAATTTTTTATTTTATTTTTTTAATGGAGATGGGGTCTCACTGTTACTAAGGCTGGTTTCAAACTCTTGGGCTTAAGCAGTCCTCTCGCCTCAGCCTCCCAAAGGGCAGGGATTACAGGTGTGAACAACTTCACCTGGCCTTCCAATCTCTTCTCTTTTTTTTTTGAGTTGGTGTTTCACTCTGTTGCCCAGACTGAAGTACCTTGACACGCTCACAACCACCCCAGTGTCAACCTGTTGGGCTCCGGTGATCCTTCTGCCTCAGCCTTCCAAGTAGCTGGAACTGCAGGTGTGCTCTACCACACCTGGCCAATTTTTGATTTATCGAAGAGACGAGGTCTCGCCAAGTTGCCCAGGCTGGTCTCAAACCCGCAAGCTCGGGCAATCCACTCACCGTGGCCTTCCAAAGTGCTGGGATTACAGGCCTGGCCCAGTCTCCTCTTCTTATGAGGGTACCAGTCAGCTTGAATCAGAGCCCACCCCAGTGACCTCGTTTCAACTTAGTGACTGCTGCAAAGATCCCACCTCCAAACACAGTCGCATTCTGAAGTGCTGGGGTTAGGATTCCCACATGTGTATTTGGGGGTCCCCATTTAGCCCACAGGAGAGGCTGAAACATTTGCTTCTTTAATCATCCATGTAGCACCTTTTCTGCTCCCCCATCTGTGCTGATAAAGGTGCTGAGAAAGTACCCCCCGAAGGTACCCCAAGAGCATCCACCTGAGGCTGCTCTCTGTTTCAGGTACATCCACCCCTGTGAGATCTGCGGGCGAATCTTCAATAGCATCGGGAACCTGGAGCGCCACAAGCTTATCCACACAGGTAGTGGGTGCTTGTTAGGCCATGGCGGGAGGGACCAGCGAGGGTTCGGGTAGTCTCCACGTGCTTCACACCCTGGCCATCTACACAGCTCCTCCGATGGCTTCTGCCATTCATTCACTTCTCCCATCTATGCCATCCTGCTTCTTGCAGTCCCCCAACCCCAGCCCTGTCCTGTCACCCCCTCAGGACTGTCTCATGCCAAAGGCCCCTGGGGGAGTTCTGTGGAGGCTGCTGCTGCAGCAGTGACCCGCCTTGTGATTGACTGTGCTCCAGTCACAGGGAAGCTGATCTCCTCCATATGGACTCTGCAGGGAGGAATTTCTGGGCTCTGAGCCACAGTGTGTGTCTTTAGGTGTGAAGAGCCATGCCTGTGAGCAGTGCGGGAAGTCCTTTGCCAGGAAGGACATGCTCAAGGAGCACATGCGTGTGCATGATAACATCCGCGAGTACCTGTGCGCCGAGTGTGGGAAAGGTAAGTATGGATGCCAGAAGTCAGGATAGTCACAGCCAGACCAAAGTCACAGGGACAATCACAGCCAGGTCGTTCGCCCAGCCACTTGGGTTGGAAATACCACCTGTGCTTTCTAAAGGAGATGTGAGCGAGACATAGCAGAGTGCCACGGTGTTGCTGGGCAATGTTGGCAGAGACCCAGGGGCATCAAATCACTTGCTTAAAAGAAAGGAAGAATGGGAGGCAAATATCAGAAATCCAGAAGAAAAGTCACATAGTCAAAAAGAGAGAAAGACGCAATAAATGTAAAGGCACACACACATCATTTTAAAAGTTGGAAAAGAACGTACATTACTGCTTGAAGTACAAAATAAGCTGGGCATGGTGGCTTATGCCTGTAATCCCAGCACTTTGGGAGGCCAAGGCAGAAGGATTGCTTAAGGCCAGGAGTTTGAGACCAGCCTGGGCAACATAGGGAGACCCAATCTCTACAAAAAATTAAAAAATCAGCTGGGTGTGGTAATGTGCACCTGTAGTCCCAGCTACTCAAGAGGCTGAGGGGCAGGAGGATCACCCGAGCTCCAGAGTGTGGTAGCTGTGATCATGCCACTGCACTGCAGCCTGGGTGACAGAGTGAGACCCTGTCGCTCAAAAAAAAAAGTACAAAATGATTCCGAGTATCAGTGTGGGTACTGTAGGTGCAGAGCCTTCAGCATGTTAGCAGCTGCTGTGAACTGGAACCAGCTACGTGTAAAGAGGTGACTTCACCATGGCCAGGAAGTCCTCGCTGTGACAACATAACGCAAATTAATAAGAAATCTATCAATAAGTTGTCTATCAGTAGGCAAAATCTTTAAAAAGGTCATTTCAAGGTCAAATGCAGTGGCTCAAGCCTGTAATCCCAGTACTTTGGGAGGCTGAGGCAAGAGGATTGCCTGAGCCCAGGGGTTCGAGACCAACTTGGGCAACTTGGCCAGACCTCGTCTCTACAATAAATCAAAAATGGTTGGGTGTGATAGCATGTGCCTGTAGTTCCAGCTACTTGGAAGGCTGAGGCAGAAGCATCACCTAAGGCCAGCATGTTGAGGCTGTGGTGGCTGTGAGCATGCCACTGCACTCCTGCCTGGGCAACAAAGTGAGACCCCAACTCAAAAAGAAAAATAGTCATTTCAGTACATGTTAAAATTGTAACCCATTCCTGTTTAAACAGAACAACTTCCTAAAAGCCTTGGAGCAGGGCCTGTCGTGAGCTGTTTCAGATGGTACTGCTTGTAGTCACAGTGGCCTCAGAACTATCCCTACTCAGATAAGAAACAAATCAGGTTTATCTGCTTTGCTGTTAGGATCTTTTAAAAATACCATGTTCCGTAAATGCTTTTATTTTGTTTTTCCTTTATTTATTTTTAAAAATTAAATAGAAGTCTATGAATATTTTATGCACATATAAAATATTACATGCTGCCGGGCATGGTTGTTCATGCCTGTAATCCCAGCACTTTGGGAAGCCAAGGTAGGAAGAGGATTGCTTGAGTCCAGGAGTTCAAGACCAACCTGGGCAACATAGTGAGACCCCATTCTTGTCTTAAAAATAAATAAATAAATAGAAGCAGTGCTGCCAAAAAAAAAAAAATTACGTGTCAGAGCTTAAAAGAGTGACCAGCAGAGAAAGACAGAAAGGAGAGGTTTCCTGTCCCTCAGTCCCACCCTCGGTCCCTGTCCTCAGAGCATGGGCATAGGCCCTCATGTCCTCCAGGATAACTGTGTGCAGGGACAGCATATGGATTGTTTTATTGAAAAAGTGACGCATGTACCTAGCCAAAAAGGTAAAACCAAAACTTTTGTGGGCAGCGCAAATGGGTCTGCAAGATAATGTTGTTGTTCCCCCTGCAAAGGCCTGTGGCCACTCTGACTGACTCTAACTGCGTCCACAGGTCTTAGCAGGGACATGTTGGCTCTCTCCTTCAGCGCCACACTCCTCTGCTGTGAGCTCCCAGCCCCTTCCACTATGTGCCACCACCAACTCTCCTTTCTTCCCTAATATCCCCTAGAAGTTAAATTTTTTGTAAGTGAGGTGGGCCTGGCAGGCGTCCTATGTAGATCATGTGGAGACGGGTGGGCTGACCCTCCCAGGTGGGCAGAAAGGGGCCACCCCTGGGTCTTCTGCAGATCCTTGAATGCTCCCAGGGCACCCTGGAGGTGGGGTAGTCAGAACCCCATTTTATAATATAGACATTTTAATATTTGCAATGTATTGCATATTTGGTTTCTTTTATGAGTTCTGAGTAGCTTAAGTAAAATGCTGGCAGTAATACATTGGTTACCTTATTTATTTCTCATAATATTACATTTTGATATGTCATGTGACTCTCGCTAGCACATACAAGCAAATGCTGGGGCTTGTTATTTCCATGCTTTGTTTTTTCTTTTTTTAATTTAAAAATACATCTTAGAGATTTTTTTCTTATCAGAACACATAAATGAAAATATTGCCTCACTTTTTTTCAAAACCTTGGTAGGATTCCATTGTGTGATATAACCAGACCCCTATTTATATATTAAGCCTTTGTGGGGCTTTTGTACTCATTTATCATTACAAATGATATAGGAAACATCCTTGCATATCATTACTTAACATTTTTTTTCTAGGAATTCTAGGCCCAGTCAGGGGCTTGGTCAATGCCCGGGCCCAGATGGGAGGCTGTTAGAAGTCCTGAGAGTCCTCTCCCCCAAGAAAAGGGCCAGGTGCCCAGCCAGTTGGTTTCCTGTGTATATACAGGAAAGTGTCATGTTCAGAATCACTTCATGTACCATTCAAGACTCGGGAACAATCCATGAAACATCTGCATGGCCTATAAGAAGAAGTAGGTCTTAAAAGCTTTTTAAAAAGGCATGCCCTATTCGGACTTGAACATTTTGAGTGTTTTAAAAATACCAATTTTCCCCAGAGTAACTTGTAACTGTGATGCAGATTGAATCACGGCCGCAGTAGAGATAACTTTAAAGTTTCCACCATGTGGCATTGTGTTTATTTTAAAACTGTTCACAGATTTTTTTCCTTTTAATGGAAGGAAAAATCAGGAACACTGGCTGTAATGGAGAGGTTAGAATGTAGAAATGAGCTTTGTTGTTCTTTCCTCCTGTTTTTTTTTTTTTTTTTTGAGTTAGAGTCTCACTTCTTTGCCTAGGCTAGAGGGCAGTGGCATGCATGCTCATGGCCACCCCAGCGTCTGGGCTCCAGCGATCCTTCTGCCTCAGCCTTCCGAGTAGCTGGAACTACAGACATGCGCTACACGCCCGGCTGTTTTGGTTTTTTTTTTTCATTGTAGCGACGAAGTCTCACCAGGTTGCCCCGGCTGGTCTTGAACCTGTGGGCTCAGGCAATCCACTCGCCTCAGCCTGCCAAAGTGCTGGGATTACAGGCTGAACCACCAAGCCCAGCCTTTTCCTCCTGTATTTGCTGACTTTTCTGTGAGCCTGTGTTACCTTTGTAATTTGGAATGCATGCATTTTAGATGCATAGAAGAGGAAGGTGTGGTGTCAAGGCAGGCTAGTCAGGACTGGCTTCTCAGGTCTCCATCCAGCCACTTGCCCCTGGCCCTAAAGAAATCACCCCACCAAGGGTCATAGCCAGATGCTGGTGAGGGGCGGAGGCAGACCCGCTTTCGGAGTTTGAACAAGGGTACAGTGGGGAGGGCAGCGAGGCCTTGTCTATCAGAGTTAGATGCAGCTAGAAATTTATCCTGTTTTTATGCAGTTTGAAGTTCTATCTGTAGCGTAAAGATAGGCAGGGAGCATCCCTCAGCCTGTTTGAGAACATCTTGAAACCCTGAGGAATTAATTACATGCACTCTGGTGCCTTGGTCTCAGGGCTTCTGTACCTGCTCTTCCCTCTGCCAGGAATACTGTTCTCGTGAGTAGCTCTTGACTCCTCGCCAACTTATTCTAGGTCCCTTTTTCAGATGCTGCATCAGCGGGAATCCCCTGATACCCCATCTGATGAACTGGCCCCTGGCCACGCCCTCACTCTTTCCTGTCCTCTGTTCCCTCCATTCCAGTCCCTACTTCTTGGTCCCTCCTCCTGTGATATTCTGTGTTTGCTTGTTTGTCCCTCTCCCCACTTAGAAGCCAGGGGCAGGGTGTGGCTCTCTGCCTAGTCCCTGGCACCTAGCACGCAGTCAGTCAGATGTTTGTTGAGTAAACCATGAATAGTATTTAGCTGTTGAAGCCATTGTGGTTGTGAGGTTTGCACTGGTCGGGATTGATGTCTTGTGCAGAAGAGACAGAAACAAGCAGTTGAGAATGAGGTCACATGGTGGTACTTACAGAGGCTGGCGAGAGGTGGTCCCAGGAGGTATGATGCTGCCTGGGAGGCATGGCCAGCCAGGGGTCCAGAGTCCACCCAGTGTGTGCCTGGTTGCCAGCGAGTATCCTGGAATGACAGGTTGCTAGACCGCCAACCTCGGATCTGACCTCTGATTACCTGTAGTTTTTGTCACTATGAGTGTTATGACTTTTTAAAATCAAAAATATTAAAAGTAATTTTTAAGGGCGAACACATTCTTCCATGGTTGGTAACTGTCCGGGACCTGCCCTCCCCACCCTATAGAGGGGCTGCTGACGTCCTCTGTGTTGGCATGGCGACTTCCTCACAGGGGATGTGCACCCCCTACTGGCTCAGCTGTGGCATTGTCTCATAGCCTGTGAGGTCCCCTGGCCCCAGGTTTCATATTCTGGCAGGAGCTGGTTGAAATTCACTGTGCATTGGCTGAGACAGAGGTTTTCTAGATAGCCTGGTGAGAGAATGGGGCTGAGAGGAAACTGTTTGCCAGCTTAGGACAGAGCTGTTTTCAGTCTCAGTAGTCCTCCAGATGCTGAGGTAACAGCCGTGGTCAGAGAGCACAGATGGCCCCACTTCTCCAGCAGGCACAGCTGCAGGCTCATTCCCCAGCAGGGACAAGGTGGCAGTGGCCCTTCCACTGCCTCCAACCTGGGTTAGCTTATGGTGAGCAGGACAGGACATGGTGTGCCCCAGGGTATATGAGCCACCTGGTGGGTATGCCAGGCCATCACACCCACTCCAGAGGGCCCTATGCAGTGCTCCACCAGCCGCCGTCCTGTGCCCCCGGACTCAGCCCCTGTGCCAAGGTTGTCCCTGTCTCCACTAGCTGAGTTATGAGGCTTGAGCTTATTTCATCTCCTTAAGAGTGGCTTCATAAAATTAAATTAAAGGCAGATTGAAAGCCTAACTGTAATATGCCTTGTAATATGTAATCTTCCCTTCATTCGGTCTCCTTGCATATAGCATCTTCATCTTGATTAACATTCATGCATCAAGGTCAAAAGGAAACTGTAGTCACCCTTGTACGTCTCACCAATCTCTCTGACTTGATGGTCATGCATGGAAACCTAACAACAGCCCTGGTGTTGCTTGTGTGTTGTCAGGGGCTGGGCCAGGCCTGGCAGAGGTGGGCACATCCAGTGGGCACATCAGTCTCTCATGACCTCTGGGGACAGTGACTTCCCAGGTCTCACTGCCAGTGGGTCAGGAACCTCTCCAAGGCCGAGCCCCCTGACCCAGCCTCTCCCCAGTTTCATGCTGCCCAACTCCTGTACCTGCCCCAGAGTCCCAGGGATGGGGACTGCCGGGTGGCATGTGGGCACCGCAGGGTTGGCTGCACAGTGGCATAGCCCCTCTGATCTGCTTTGTCCCCGAAGGCATGAAGACCAAGCACGCACTGCGCCACCACATGAAGCTGCACAAGGGCATCAAGGAATACGAGTGCAAAGAGTGCCATCGCAAGTTTGCTCAGAAGGTCAACATGCTCAAGCACTACAAGCGGCACACAGGTGAGTGCCCGGGAGCCATGGGGGGAGGCACCAACTGAGCATGCTCCTGTGCCCAGAAACCGGATACATCACGGAAGAGGGCCACTCGATGCTTTTCCTTCTCATGACTCTCTGTAAGCTCTGGGTTTTCTGAGGGAGCCTCCCTGGCCGAGGGTGAGTCACAAGTGAGTGGCTGTGGGTCTCTGAAAGCTTCCCACACAGGGACTCTGTCACACGCAGCACATGCACATGCATGGGAGCTCAGGTGGCAGCACAGGTGGGGAGCTCAGCAGTTCCGTCAGCTCCTAAATGCCCATCCCTTCCGCTCCACTGTTCCCCCTGCAGTAGTGACCAGGGGTGTATGTGCAAAGCAGTCATCCTCTCGTCTGTAAGGGAAGGTGCTGTACTGTCAGAAGTGGCATCAGTAGGGGTAATGGCAAGGTCATGGTACAACCAAAAAACAACAATGCCATCATCAGAAATGGTGATGTGTGTGTGCACCATGCATAGAAAGAGGATGCAGTATCCCAGGTGAAACAGCAGCCTGCACAGCAACCAACATGAGGACTTTTTTATACAAGATCTTTATATGGAGAGACGTGTACGTGAGAAAGGATGAGAGAAGGTGATGGAGTTAACGTCTGGGTGGGAAACTCCATGTGAGCCTGTCAGTGGTCCCAGGGGCCTCCTAAGATGCGTGTTGAGTCCTGGCCCCAGATCACCTGCCCACCCACCTCCCACTGCTCCCCAGAACAGCGCCACTTGGGTCTGTGTTGTGTTGCCCTGACGTGCAGGCCCGCTGTGTCCCTGGGCTTCCAGAAGTGTGCTGTTCATCTCTTTCCTGGGGAAGAGCTATCCATTCCTTGCTTTGCCTTTCCTGGGCCACTCTTTCCTCCCCAGGACTGGACCACATGCCCTACTCTGGGTTCTCAGAAATCCCCACGCTCTGCCCACTGCCCGCCAACCTGCAAGGCTGTGACAGCCTCCATCCCATTATCCCTGGTGAGTCCTCAACCCTGTGCCCACAAGATGCTCAGTAAATACTCACAGGACTGAGTTAAGCGTATCTTTAAGGATTATTTTGCCTTGTCGCCATTTAGGAGGGAAACCTATGTTTAAAAGGTATTCTCATGATCAGCCTTCTAGGCTGGGAGTGAAGCAGGCAGCTGACCTGATTCTTGCTTGCCAAGCTGGAGCCAAACAGAGCCACTGCCTCAGAACCCCCCAGACTGGGGGACTGACAGGAGCACTCAGTTACCTGATGGAAGCTGCACTTACAGGCCCACATTCCACCCCATCCAGAGTGGCCCTCCAGCACAGTTCCTGTGCCGCTGCCGGGCATCCCCCAGGGCAGGATGGCTCCTGGGCTCCTAGCCCTCACTGTGTGGGAGCCTTCAGGGGTCGTCATGGGCTTCACTGACCTCCGTGGCCAGGAGGAAAGCACCTGGCTTGGCCTAGGTTCTGCAAACTCCAATTCTCCCTCCAGAATCTGTCCCCCCCCCACCCCTTGGCCATTCCCTGAGGCATTCGCCACTTGCCCCATCCCCTGGGGCATCTCAAAGTACTCTCCCTAAGAGTGTGCTCTCACCTTTTCCATGCAACCACCTGTTAGAGGCAGCGCACTTGGATTTGTTTATCTGAATCACCTGAGAAGCTTTGTCAGAAGACCCATTTGGGTTTCTGAGTCTGGGGGGGAGGTGGCCAAGCTTTGATATCCTAACCCTCTGTGGACTGTCCTGGAGGTCAGGCTTCCTTATCTGTAAAATAACAGATTTTTTTTTAACAAGATGGTCTTTGCTCTAATTAAACCTATCTATCTACACCATGCCTCTGGCGCATCTCAGGATAATGGATGTGTTGGTTCTTTTTTCTTAGGAATCACAACATATTATTTTGTTTGTGCACTTTGTAGAAGTCTGTCAACCATACATTTTGATGTCAGTTTCCTTAAAACAAATAAGCAACACAAGACGCTTCCCAATCTTGCCCTTGGACCTGGGGAGGGACCCACCTGCTCCAGGAGCTTCAGGCCCCTCCCTAGGAAAGGGCATCTCAGAACTCCTGTGTTTGGGTGACCATGGCAGGAATCGGGCACTTCCCATGTCCGTCTGTGTCTGCTTCCCTGTTCCCGTCAAGGAAAATTTATAGACCAGGGCTGACCAGGCATTTATCATTGAGTTAAAAAAATAGCCAGATCTCTGATTTGAATTACTAAGATTTTTTAAAAACCATACTCATTGTGTATAGCCACAGCAGTTACATCATCTCTTATACTTGGCATGTCTGGGTTCTCCTTATGTTTGGTCCTGAGTTCAGTGACTGTTTTCCCTTTCATTGTATATATCACACATGCAACCTGGGGTCTTTTGAGACTAAACGAGGTGTAGATAAATTAATACTTTGAATAATTGTTGTTTTTCTCTGTGGGTTCCACTTTCTGTATTCTCAGATAGCTCTTTACACACCTCAGGATATTTTTATATGAAGTATCACCATTTGAGGGTACTTTTCAGGCTGAATTTGGGGGTGCCATCTTCTGGCAATTACCTTCTCCAGAGGCTCTGCAGTGACTGAGGTATGTCCAGGATAAGACATCCTCTCGGTTGGACTTCACTCACTTAAAGTACTTATTAAACACATGAAACTAAGCATGGCTTTTCCTTCAGGGATTAAGGATTTCATGTGTGAATTGTGTGGCAAGACTTTCAGCGAGAGAAACACGATGGAAACCCACAAGCTTATCCACACAGGTAAGTGGGCGCCATCTGGAAGAATGTTCCGGGCCACACGCTGTAGTCTGGTGGGGCTGTCTGAGTACATGCTGGGCTGAGAATGACTATAGGAAGTCCCCAACATACAAACAAGTTCTGTTCTAAGAGCACATTTGTAAGTCCAGTTTGTTCTAAGTCCAACAAAGTTAGCCTAGGTACTCAATGAACAGTCAGCAGGACAGTATTATATGTATCTAAAAGGCTATACTGACACCTAGTGGAGAGAAAAAATACGTTAAAAAAAAGCACATTCTCATCTTTGAAAGTTTACAACTTGACAGTTCATATGTAGGGGACTTACTGTATTCTATCATGTAGACTTTTCCAGGATATTTAGTGCTATTTTAGCTTCCAGAATATTCAGTGGCTCTGTTTGGCTCCCTTGGCCCTTATAAGTCAGCCCACCACAGCTTCCAAAGTGTCCAGTCTTGAACAGTGTTGGCTTAGTGGCAGGGCTGGTGCAGACAGGGTTCTGTGAGGGATGGCGGCCCCTCTGTGTGTCTCCTGGGGTCCTGCTTCTTGCTCCCATGGCCCGGCTTGACTGACGACTCCCACAGCACGCACAGGGGGCATAACAGGCTCCTCGTCTTGTTCATGGGCTGGGGGGGCCATTGGGTGGCCCCACTGGTGACCTGTGCTTGTATCTTCTTCCCTGCGTGTGAGCAGTGGGCAAGCAGTGGACATGCTCCGTGTGTGACAAGAAGTACGTCACTGAGTACATGCTGCAGAAGCACGTGCAGCTCACACACGACAAGGTAGAGGCGCAGAGCTGCCAGCTGTGCGGGACTAAGGTATCCACCAGGGCCTCCATGAGCAGACACATGCGGCGCAAGCACCCCGAGGTGAGCCCGCGGGCCCAGCCCTCCTCCAGCCCCATTCCACCCGGCCTGTGCACATATCTATGACTCAGATGCCCCACGGTGGACACTCGGGACCCCTCTCTCCTGCAGACCCTGAGCTCCTGGGGCAGGGCCTGGTCTTGGGTGCCCCTAGGGGGCACTGCCCGCCATGTGGGAAGTGTGGGTGAAGGGAAGAGAGTAGAAGAGCCTCATGCCTGTTTTTTTCTAAGATTATGCTTTTTTTTTTTTCTGGGTTGGGTCTTACTCCCTTACCCAGTCTGGAGTGCAGTGACACACTCACAACAATCATAGCTCACTACAGCTTCAATCTCTTGGATTCAGGTGATCCTTCCACCGTAGCATCTGGAGTAGGTGGGGTTACACGTGTGTGCCACCACGCCTGGCTAATTTTTGGAATTTTTTTAGAGATGAAGTCTCACCATATTGCCCAGCTAGTCTCAAACCCTGGACTCAAGCAGTCCTCCCGCCTTGGCTTCCCAAAGTGCTGAAATTACAGGCACAAGCCACTGCATCCAGCCAAATTATATCTTCATAGTAGGATGGAAGCACAGCTCTGACCTCTCTCCCATTCTTCCACTGAAGAAACTAATGTGCAAAGTGGGGGCCTCCCTGGGTCTTGGGATTAACTGAGGAATGGCTTTGAAAACGGAGATGGAGAAATGGTGCAGTAACAGGCAGAGCCAGCTTGCCCAAGTGCTTGCCCTGCAGGAGGGGCCAGGGACAGCAGTGATGAATGTGCTTTAAGAAGGAACAAACAGAAAAACAAAACGAGAAGCAGGTGCAGGTAAACAGTTATCAGATCCCTGTACTTTGTAAGCATAAAAACCATGTGGCACCTGGGACACGAGGCACAGTGTGAATGTCGCATGCTGAGGACCCCGTCAACGTGGCCATCAAAGGGAAGGTGAGGGCAGGCATCGCTTCATCACATTGATGCATTAGGGTACTTGTATGTAGAGTCAACTGGAAAGTAGAATGTGTAAAGCACAAATGTCCCCTTTTTGGTGACTCCTGGTAGGACGAGTTTGCTATGCAGTATCTTAACCTTGTCCTACTCCTCCTTGAAAGTCACAGGAGAGTTGCTGAATCTCACTTATGGAAAGCACATTGGTATGGGGCAGAAAAGGGAGGACACAGAGTCTCCACTCTTGGGGGCGGACACAAGGTAGTATAAGATCAGATGCAGGAACGTTGCAAACACTTAAAATAAGGGGTAAGGAGACTGAACATAGTGGCTGATGTGCCTGTAATCCCAGCACTTTGGGAGGCAAAGACAAGAGGATTGCCTGAGCCCAGGGGTTTGAGACCAGCCTGGGTAATAGTGAGACCTCATTTCTACAATAAATCAAAAAATAGCCAACTACTTGGAAGGCTGAGGTGAAAGGATCACCTGAGCCCAGCAGGTTGAAGCTGAGGTAGCCGTGATTGTACCACTGCACTTCAGTCTGGGCAACAGAGTGAGACTCTGATTATAATAATAATAATAATAATAAGCCAGGCATGATGGCTCAAGCCTATAATTCCAGCACTTTGGGAGGCCAAGGCGAGAGGATTGCCTGAGCTCAGGGGTTCGAGACCAGCCTAGGCAACTTGATAAAACCTCGTCTCAACAATAGATTTTTAAAAATAAGTCTGGCACAGTAGCTTGCACCTGTAGTTCCAGCTACTTGGAACGCTGAGGTAGAAGGATTGTCTGAGCCCAGCAGGTTGAGGCTGCAGTGGCCATGTGCGTGCCACTGCCCTCCAGCCTGGGCGACAGAGTGAGACTCCAACTCAAAAGTAATAATAATAGGTTTGGGGCCAGGAAGGAGAAGTGGTGCCAAAGCCTGGAGAGATTCTGGAGACAAAGTTTGAAAGTCAGTCCTGAGCAGAGGAGTGTCTGAAACTCAAGGGATGCCCTTGAGGGAAGGACAGAAGTCAGTTGATGGTGCCCTGCAATGTGTCTGGTGTCTGGGTTCCTGCAGTGCCCCAGGCTCACTGCCCTGTGCTCCTCATAGGTGCTTGCGGTAAGGATTGATGACCTGGACCACCTCCCAGAGACCACTACCATTGACGCTTCCTCCATTGGCATCGTCCAGGTGAGCAGCCCAGGTATACCCTGCAGGAACAGAAGCTTCTAGATAATCAAACACCTGTTGAGTAGCCCCTGAAGGGCTCAGACAGGCCGGGTGGGAGCAGCCTTAGAACAAGCCTGTGTCCTGATCCCAGTGTGTCAGGGTCCAGGTTCATTTTCTGTCTTTTGGTTGATCTTCTCTCCCAGAACCTTTTAGACTATTTCCTGGTTTCCGTCGTTTCTACAGCTTGGATTTTTTGAATACCGGTGTGTCTCACTTTGGAGAATAGCTGTTTCTAGAAAAGATTAGCATGAATTAATTGTTCTAGGCAAATGAATTGACTTTTTCTTTTTTGAGTTGGAGTCTTACTCTGTTGCCCAGGCTGGAATGCAGTTGGCACACTCACGGCCACCACAGCCTCAACCTGCTGTGCTCAGGTGATCTTTCTGCCTCAGCCTTCTGAGTAGCCAGAACTACAGGCGCATGCCACCATGCCTGGCTAATTTTTTGATTTATTTTAGAGATGAGGTCTTGCTATGTTGCCCAGGCTGGTCTCAAAGTCCTGAGCTCAGGCAATCCTCTTGCCTCTGCCCCCCCACAAAGTGCTGGGATTATAATGTATGAGCCATTGCACCCAGCTAGAGTTGAAATATATTGATTAGATGAATTTTAACTTTTTAAAGATGTTTTTAGTCAATACCTTTATAATCTTTTTTATTATAAATAGACTATGTCATGCTCTCAGTTATTTAAGATTGCATTTATACCTCTGTGTTTGTGACTATGCTTTTGAGCACAGTCTTTAATGAAGGAGGTTGGGTCATGCTGAGTGAACATCTGGCTGTCCTGGTCCAGCCCTAGAAGCCTATGGGCTATTTCTTCCCCTTGTGAGTGACAATCATGGGATGGGAGGGCAAACCCCACTATGACCATGCCCTGGCAGGCCTCCTCTGGATCTGTCTTCCCCTGGGTTGGGACCAAGTCTCATGGGATGGCACAGGAGTTGCAGAGGAACGGCAGGTGACCAGCGGGGAGCATGTGCCAGCCACCACTGCTCTGTGACCTCCACGAGGCCCAGCAAGCCTGACTGGGTCAGAAGACCTAGGCTCAGCCCGGCAGCGCCCTCCACACCTACAGAGAAGTATGTGGGAAAGAAGACCCACTGGGATTGAGACTGCACCTGGGCCCTCTTTGGCGGACCCAAAAGGAGGTGTCTGTACAGTTTTTGTACAATGAGTTTGTTTCAGCCTTGAGGAAGAAAGCCCTGGTTTGAAAGCATTTTCAGCCTTAGTCTGAGCCCACCAGGGCTGAAACAATTCCCTTTACCCAGTGGCTTTAAAAAAATTAGTTTTTAAGAGATGTTTACATTGTAGCATAAAATATGGCTTTTAAAAATATGACTTGTACGTATTTTTTTTTAACTGAAACCAGAGAAACTTGCCCCGATCCTTGGAAATGCAAGAACCAGCTGTGGTCACTGTTTCCTGTGGCAGCTCGGTAGCCTGAGAGCCTCACCCCTGGCCTGCGAGTGTGTGTGGGACACTGACAGGCCTGCTCTGGCCACCGCGTGATGTGACCATTGACCTGATCACTTGCTGAAACTGATTTTCTTGCAGCCTGAGCTGACTCTGGAGCAGGAAGACTTGGCCGAAGGGAAGCACGGGAAAACTGCTAAGCGGAGTCACAAGAGAAAGCAGAAGCCAGAGGAGGGGGCGGGGGCTCCAGTGCCTGAGGACTCTGCCTTCAGCGAATACGGGGAGAAAGAGACAGGGTTTACGGGCAGTGTGGGTGATGAGACCAACTCCGCAGTGCAGAGCATTCAGCAGGTGGGTTTACTTCTTATATGCAAATGCCGTGCAATCACTTTGACAAGAGACAGATTTCCCTAAGCATGCGAGTCCTGCATGTACATGACTCCAGTTCCTTTTTCGTGTGTCTGTTTGTAGAGACAAGTTCTCACTATGTTGCCCAGGCTGGTCTCAAACTCCTGGGCTCAAGTGATCTTCCTGCCTCAGCCTCCCAATGTGCTAGAATTCCAGGCATGAGCCACTGCTCCCGGCCCTGTCCCTTTTTTAGTATGCACAGTGCACATGGTAGACTTTACATGGTTCAAGTCAGCAAACACATCCCATTTTTCACTTAAGCACTATTTCATGGAAGCGTTTCTGAGTTATAACCTACAAATCACTCTTGTCATCGTTAATAGTGGCATATAGTCTAGCTTGTTGCAGAGACATGTCCCCCCGGATAGGAATTGGGTGTGTTGTTTCCAGTTTGGGGGTGTTACAGACTGCCCAAGTACCTTTATTGTGAAAGTGCAGCCCTGTGCATTTGCTGACCAGTAAGAGAGAGCGGGTCCCCACATACCAGAGGATCCCTCCAGAGCGCTGAAGGGTGAAGGCCAAGGGGGCTTGGGCAGCTGGTCCTGCTTCATTGACTGGAATCTTCCACTTTGCTCAAGTATCATCACTTTTGCTTCTGAGGCCCCTGTGTCTTTTGTCAGTCTGTCCACCCCTCTCTTGTGTGTGAGAGATGGTAACGCTGATTGCAAGCATTCATGCATGCACTTGGCCTTTCATCATTTTCCCTGAGAAAGCATGCAGCTTTGTTGTTGTTGTTAGCTATTGGCACTGCAGATGTTTCTCTTGCCCCTTTCAGCTTGGTAGTAGGGTTTTCATAATCACCAGCAAGGCTGCTTAGGGTGGGAAAGCAAGACCCTGCCTTCCATCTGTCAGGCTTACTTCCCTCTATTTTTTTCTAGCCAGTGAAATTCATTTGTCTCTCCATTCCATCTCATTGTCTCTATGTTATGTCTGTATCATGTTTTTTAAAATTTTTTCTAGAATTATTTTTCCAGAACAAAATTAAGTTGGTTTTCTCCTGCCCCAGAGAATGTCATGTTTCTCTTCCCCTAGACTGGGTGTGTGATCATCCAGCAGGGTGACGCACAGTGTGTCTAAGGGAGGTTGCGTTGCTCTCCATTTTCAGAAACAATGAACCATTTTTTGTTGTTTGTGACTCTTCCAGGTGGTGGTGACCCTGGGTGACCCAAATGTGACCACTCCATCGAGCTCTGTTGGCCTGACCAACATCACCGTGACCCCCATCACCACTGCAGCTGGGACTCAGTTTACCAATCTTCAGCCGGTGGCTGTGGGGCACCTCACCACCCCCGAACGCCAGTTACAACTGGACAACTCCATCCTGACTGTGACCTTTGATACCGTCAGCGGCTCTGCCATGTTACATAACCGCCAGAACGACGTGCAACTCCACCCCCAGCCGGAGGCCTCAAACCCGCAGTCTGTGGCTCACTTCATCAATCTGACCACACTGGTCAACTCCATCACGCCCCTGGGGAGTCAGCTCAGTGACCAGCACCCGCTTACGTGGCGGGCCGTGCCCCAGACAGACGTGTTGCCGCCCCCACAGTCACAGGCGCCCCAGCCGCAGGCAGCCCAGCCCCAGGTGCAGCCTGAGCCGCAGCCACAGATGTACAGCTATTGAGCCATGCTGGGGAACGGAGCAGGGACTGCGGAGGGGGCTAGAAGCTTCGAGATTTGTTTGCTGGATACCAAACACACACACACACACACACACACACACACACACACACAAAATCACACATTGCAATGTAAGTAAGGTTGACTTAGCTTTTGCAGAATTGTGTCCAGATCCCCAGACAACCATGATGGTGTGTTGGTTTGCCTTGCAACATGACCCTGGTGGCAGGAGATTTAAAGCAGATTGGGTTCCACACTATGCCTTACCAAGGTAGTTAATGCGTCCTGACCCGGGCATGCCCACTGCACCTCACAGGGCTGCCACTGGGTCAGCATGGGTTGTGAGAAAGTGGCGCTGTCAGAGGCAGCATCATTGAGGCCAGGGACCAACTGTTAGGAACACAAGTGGCCCGTTTTCCTTTCCTTTCGAGCTCACTGAATGAAAACACAGACAGTGTTCACAGGTGCAACACTTAGTGGGGAAGCAGCTCTCCTCACTTCTGGATTGCTTTAGCAGGTGAGCAGGTAGAAGGTAAAGTAACGTGTTCTCTTCTTTGAAACACAAGCTGAGTGAGTTTGTTACACAGCTTGTGAACTGAACAACGTGCGAGGTGTGCTGGGCCCCTCATGACCCTCTAGGGTTCAGGGTCATCACGGGCAAGGGGTTGTGTGAGGTCACCAACTCTGGAACAAAAGGCATCTTAGGAATATCCATCAATTGATTTTCAGATCGTTTTTTCTTTTTTCTATTTTATATATTTAAGACAGTTGTGGCCAATATTGTTTTTTAATTTTTGTGTTAACATGACAAAGTCGTTTGCACTGTAGGACTGTGGGTCCATGTCTAACCCACATGCCTGCCCAGGGCAGGGGGTGGCAAGCTATCTGAGGAGTGAGCTACCGCTGTCCCAGGTGGGCCCTTCGATGTGTTCTTGGGATACTCTGCCATCAGATGTATTTATTCTGGCAGATGCCCAGCCCAGATCCTCCAGATGGAAAGACAGGGGGGAAATTCATGTTTTCTTTCTGTTTACACTTTAATTCCAAAGGTTGATGTGTCTCATGATCAATTATAAATTGAATTTCCTCTCAACTGAATTCATTAGGCTCTTGACAGTGGGAAAGTGGAGGGATTTCTGCCAGATAGTAACGAAAGCAGAAGAGATTAGCTCAATAGTAGACACAATATATGAGTGTGCCTATGAACAACCAGCTCTCTGTGTGCGGGGACATGCGCTGTCATACATGTATACCAGTTTCAGGGGCATGGGCCAAGCTCATGGCCCAAGGTGGCCCTGCCAGCAGGCAGCCATTTTGCTGCTAGCCACAGAAACACCAAGACATGTTGAGAAAATATTGATTCTTATTTGCCTGGTACTTTTCAACACTGTCTAAAAGAAAATGATAAACTTGCCTTATTTTGTCCCAGATCTCCAGTTCTCTGGGAGACCATCTTGAAGAAATACTGACAGTGGGTCAGTAATTGGTCAGGGAGGGTAGAGGCATCCTGACATGGCCAGCAAGGCCATGGATGGTTTGCAATTTCTTCAGCACTTAACTCCATTCCTAGCAGCAAACTTTGGACGGCAGAGCTGGAATTTGTTGTGTGCAATACATGCCTTCCTGAACTAAGGGAAGTTTCTCCCCAAGCAGCCTCTGGAAGGGTATGAGGGGTTCACACCCCTCACACCTCACCACTTCATGCGGCCTCAGCTCTCACCTCTTAGTTGGATTAATAGTGGGAGATCGTTTGACTTTTTAATTTATGATAATTATTTTTATGTTATTTATGTGTATAATTAACTGCTTTATACCTAATAGTTTTATCAAATGAACTTGGGCTTGGGGTGATATATTTTCTAAAATGTTGTCTCCATTCTCCAAATACAAGTGGTCCAGGCATCCCTGGAATAAGCAAGAGACCCAGGGTTCCTAAGATTTTGTTAATTCATGACAAGTTATTTTTGCCTTTGCAAAATCTACAGGGCAGGTGACCTGGCAAAGAATCCCAGCAGGCCTTGGGCTCGGGATTTAGCATCCACTAGCATTAATCTTTTATTCCTCTCCCTTATGAAAGAAAGGCCTTTGAAATCACAATTTTATTTTTTTAAAGAAGTTGTTTTAGTGCCTAGAGTAAGACTGCGTCCAGTGTTTTAAAGAACCTAACTTAGATGTTGCTCAATGCACAGACATATTGTACTTCTTTAGTAAGTGAGAACTCTCAGTAAAAAGCAGACTTAATCCCGAGTGTCTGCAGACATGTGTGGTCTTCATAGGGTCACTATCAGAGGCAAAGTAGGTTGTCTTAAAGCAGTTGCTATGAATTTGCATATAAGAAATTGGATAGAAAAAAAAATATTCAGCCAAAACAGTCATTGACTATACATTGTTCTACCATATTTATCGTTGTTTATTGACAGAAAGTATTTAATTTTTGTAACTGATCCAAGGTGCACAGATGTATCCATAAAATTAAAAAAAAAAAAAAAAAACAACTAGATCCAGCCATTGGGTCCGCCAAGCTCTGTGAATCCATCTCAGTTATTATAAATGAATAAATCATGAGAATTTACTTTCGACCTGTGACTCCATGAGCTGTGGATGAAGTGCCATGTGCTGGGGTGAATCTTACAGACAGGCCACAGGCACGGCCGCTCCCTGGGAATCGCGGGCTCTGAGTTGAGCAGGGCCTGGGGCTCCAGGATGGCTCCAGCGTGTGACGTGTTCTCTCAGGAAAACGTTCTGTGCCAAGTGTTGCCTCACTGTCCGACACGAGACTGCTCTGGAGCGTCCCGGACCTGCAAGTCAGACCAGCACCCCATGCGGGTGTTTCGTTCCATGTCCAAAGGCAGAAGGCTCATGGCTTCTCCACCAGAGGCAGTTTCTCTGACTTTCCCATGGGGTTTTGCAAGGCATTAAGACTGTTTTGAGATGTTGTGTGTATTTCGTGTCACATCAGTTTGTATGATGATAATAAAAGGTGCTGTGAGCTGTGTTTTTAATTGCTGGTCTTCATGCTGCCGGTTACGGGGAGGTAGTCCACTTGGTGTGTTTTGAGAACAGTTGCAGTTCCTGCTGTCAGCGACAGCTTGATTTCTCTCTGGTCCAGAACCTGTGAAACATTTAGATTATTTGAAATGTTCCCTGAGATATTGAGGTATCAGAAGTGCTTCCATTATTACCCCCACCCAAAAAAGCAACAAAGAAAATGCATGTAGCATTCTTTGCAAAGCTTAGGTCAAGAGAGATGTCACAGAAAAAGATCAGTAGCTGGAGAGGGGAAGTCTTTTTTTTTTGAGTTGTAATCTCACTCTGTCGCCCAGACTGTAGTGCAGTGGCCACTTCCGGCCACCACAGCCTCGACCTGCTGGGCTCCGGCGCTCCTTCCGCCTCAGCCTTCCAAGTAGCCAGAATTACAGGCATGCGCTACCATGCCCGGCTGATTTTTTAAAAATTTATTGTAGAGATGAGGTCTCGCTGCCCAGGTGGGTCTCAAACCCGTGGGCTCGGGCAATCCACTCACCTCAGCCTCCCAAAGGCGCGGGATTACAGGTTGAGCCACCGAGCCCGGCTGAGAGGGGAATTCTTAAGCATGCATTTCTTTGGGTATATGGTTTGGAAGGATCCATTATTATTATTATTATCATTCTTAAGTATTCACTTTTTTGTGTCGTTTCTTTCTTTTTTGAAATTTTTTAATTTTTTTGAGTTGGAGTCTTCCTTTCTCTGTCACCCAGGCTGAAGTGCAGCGGCACGCAGTCACCGCAGCCTCGACCTGCTGGGCTCAGGTGATCCTTCTGCCTCAGCCTTCCAAGTAGTTGGAACTACAGGCACACGCCACCACGCCCAGCCCATTTTTTGATGTATTGTAGAGATGAGGTCTCGCCAAGTTGCCCAGGTTGATCTCGAACCTGTGGGCTCAAGCAATCCTCTCACCTTGGCCTCCCAAACTGTTGGGATTGTAAGCATGAGCCACTATACCCAGCCTAATTTTTTTTTTTTTAAGAGCGATAGGGTCTCACTATTTTTCCCAGACTTGTTTCGAACTCCTGGGCTCAAGCAATTCTCCTAAAGTGCCCAGATTATAAGTGTGAACCAACCCTTACCTTATTGATCAAATATTAAAAAACATATTTCAATTTGTTAGCAGTGATCATTTTAAAATTATGAAACATCTTAAATATTCAGTCTTCTAAGGATTTGAATTGTGAGAACCATGTCTGCGATATTTTAGTCATTTTAGGTAGCATCTGGTAGCAACATTCTCCAGTCATCAGGATTCATTCATGTGACACTTAACAAATTGTGAGCGCTTTCTGGTGTATGGCAGACCTGTGTGGGTCTTGTTACACACAAAGGCCAAGGGAAGAGGCAGTGATGGATCTTGCGACGTACACATTTGGCTCATCAGTACCTCTGTTTCTTTTTTGGAGTACAGATGACCATGTCGTGATTTGCTCTGCTGAGTCATGTGCCAGGTCACAGTCTGTGAACACAGCCTTTTCTCATGCACCCAACACAGGTCCCAATAGAAGGGGGATGAGAGCTAGACCACCGACTTTCCTCACCAATTTTTAAGCCTGACTTGAGTGAGTCAGCATCACAGGGGGCCTGTTCTGGCATGACGGGGACAAATGATGTGTGTGTGGTGGTGTAGTCAGCAGGACTATGCAGAAGTGGGCTGAGGTTGCCTGGACAGAGCTGTCTGGGGCCTCCCCCTCCACCTAAACCTTCCTTCCCATGGAACTGAGGACTACCCTTTCCTTGGCCTGGGAGCCTCAGGGTCCCCAGGCGCTGGCAGCTGGCATCCCCAGTGTCCTGAAAACATGGCACTTCACATTCAGACTATCTTAGTGCCACACAGCAAGCCCTTCCCACGGACAGGTTTGTCTTCTCTCATGGGTTCCTTAGAAAAGGAGGCCTCCGGGAAGCCGCCCTTCATTGGAATGTAGACCCAGCCTGTCTTTAGAGACACACCTCTGCCTGGCACACCTCTGGGGAGAGGGAGGACAGGGACTGACACTTCTCTCCTG